GTGGGGTGAGGGGTAGCTGATCAAGACCTATCCTTTGTGAATGCTGCCACGCCCATGTCGGAGGATCCGACATACACCCGCAATATTTTCGGAGAGTCCGAGCAATATAGTGTTAATGTATCTTTTTTGTGATTGTAGTTGCTGTTTGTTCATCATTTATTAACATGAAATATTTGATCTTCATTATAATGCTTATGCAACTGTATTTTGCTCCTCCACGAATTAGTAGTTATATTTGATAATATGAATTTGGTAACTGGGGCTTTGGCTAAGTAGCTTAAGAACATTAGAGCAATGTTAAAATAAGGGCGTGATATTGAGGAGCTTGTTTTCTAGTAGTAATATATACTGGATCCACAAATATGAGAGAATGACATAAAGTTAAAGCCTGTTCACTATCTTCCTCTTTGCTGTTCATGTTATAAGCCATAAGAAGTTCTAACATTGTAATCCGTTCTGCATTAGTCTTCAGGTTTTGCAACGATCCCATTGCTTTGCAACCAAAGTCATATGTCAATTACTATATTCAAGCACCCTTTATTCTCAAAGGAAGAAGTGCCTTGATTGCTAAGGCAGCTACTGATATTGATAGCGCGGGTTCTGATAATACAGAGAGTGATGAAGAAAGCAAGCTTGTTGGTAACCTGCCATTGGAGTCTAAGCTTCAGCTGAAGCTTGAGCAGAAGATGAAGATGAAGTTGGCAAAGAATATCCGATTAAGAAGGAAGAAACTTGTTAGGAAGCGACGCTTAAGGAAGAAAGGGCGATGGCCACCTTCAAAGTTGAAAAAGAACAAGAATGTTTAGTCTTTACCTCAAGATGTTTGCAGGTTTCTGCTCTCTAGATTTCCTTCTATTATCGCAATTCACCTTTTTGTAGCCTTAAAATCATTTCAATTTGTTGATAGAGTTTTAAGGATTAAACCTTTTGTTCCAGATTAATTTCTTAATTTTTACAGTCTAGATGGTATTTATAGGGAAGGCTCTTTTATTCCTTTCGATGTTGATACCGGTGGTTCTCCATGGAAAGAATGCCTTGACATCTGGACAGTCACAACAATTAGTTGTTGCATTCTGTGCTATCTGAACTTTTCTTTGTTTGCGTTTGCTCACTTTCTTGAGTTCTTCTGGAGGCCAAGGCAGGGGATATAGATGTTTGCTTTAGAGGTTATCAAAGTGAAAACAATTCCCTTTGATATCATTGGTTTTGACATCAATTGGGTTGTTGCCTCTTGTTCGTATTTTTCCAGTGTTTAGGTTCTTGAATAAGAAATGCTAGCTGTAAACTTGTATCTCTGCTCTTTTATAAGTGATCCAATTTCACTCTTATCGCTAAATTAGAGGACAAAATTATATAGCTGTCCTTCAGTATCGCAAAGACCCTACTGACTCTACAGCATCGAAGTCATTTTGTACACCTCACAGGCCAGGAGATTGGTGCTAATTGACACCTTTAATGAACGAATGGAAAAATGGACTGGATTTGTATGATACATTTCAGTAGTTTGTGTATGTTTTGAGGAAGCTCTATGTTCTTTAAGTGGAGTTGGGAACTGAAACTACCATTTTGACAAGAGTCCCTAGACTGATGATAGGCTTGCTTGGTGGATTGACTCCAGAGTTCCAAATACAGTAGTTTGATATCTTACTTTAGGATATATCTTTACCTACATGTATTTGTTTGAAAGGAAAGTGGCATAGCGGTGTATTCTTGTATAGGTTAAGCTAAAAGTTGAGTTGCATAAGTTATCAACTAATCAAAGAATAATCAGAAAACAAACTTGTTTTTGGTAAGTAGTGATAAATACTGATATTGAAAATGAGGTCAGCTACTCATATATATACCAAGGCAAGCTAGGAGGGGAGAGNCAAACTGAAAGCATCAATAAGCCGGCTACTCATGTCCAGGTACCTCAAATCTTGAACTCATTTTTTTTTTTTTTTTTTTTTTGCAATCCGCTAGGCAAGCGCCTAGGGCTAGTTTTTTTTTATTTATTAATAAATGAAAATAAAAGTACAACAATTAGGAACAGTACAAATAAGGGGGACAATAGCACCGGTATTGTTACCTATATGCCTTGGCTATATAATCACTCCTCTGCGCCTCACATTGCGTTAAGATGACAGCCTAATGTAGAGGATTCATGGTGTAGCTGCCGGCAATGTCTCACGAGGGCATATAATCTCATAGCCGTGTGGATATTTTTCCAAAGGCATAGGACCAAGGCAACTCAAACCGGGTTAAACCTTACCTTACTAATCCTATTGACATACATCAGAATTTGCCAATTTTACTGTACATTTTGCCAGCAGATATAGCAAAGCAATTAAGAAACTATGTTTCCCCCTTATAACTTTCAACAACTCTTCATCCTGAAAAACAGCACTCGTGATCATTTATGCAGATAGGCTGCCAATATCACACCCTTTTGGGGTGCGGCCCTTCCCCGGACCCTGCATGAATGCGGGATACTTTGTGCACCAGGCTGCCTTTTTTGCCTGACAAAAGGGCACGAGTTGATAGAAAACAAAGATGCTCAGACGATCTTTTCTTATCAATCATTCATCTAGAAGTAGCAGAGACAGAATTGCACAATTGCTTCGTTTTATCTGAAAAGGATAGAGGTGCCAACTGTTTCAAAGAAGTTCTACAACAAACGCCTTAAAAGTGTAACAGAAAAGCGACTAAATGGAAACATCAAGAACTAAAGATACATGAAAATTAGATGAAAATGATATTATTCATTACTGACATTTTCAATGATGCATAGTTTTAGAATGAAGATTCAAGGCCAGAAGCAGTTGTTGTTGTCCTAATGCTGATGGATTTTCTTAACAAATCAAACGAAGTGAAAGAATACGGTGAAAGTACAACATCCATGTTCTCGCTAACTTGTTTGACCAAAGTTTCAACTGGTGACACCTGTAGATAATAAGATTATAAGATTTCAAGGAAAGCAGTCACCAAACTAAAGGGAATAAAACTCTGTTTTGATCAAGTCAAGTATGAAATGGAACATGTTTGTACCTTCTTAGGATCTTCAAAAGAATTCTCATCCATCACATTGGTAGATGTTAATGTAGTTTTTGTTGCCCCAAAGGACTGCAACGAGTTCTGCTCCAATCCACTGATAGAGATTTTAAGAGCAACTGTGCTGCTCCCAAAGTTCACAACCTGGAAATATTATCTTTGACAAATGAGTCGTGTGAAAAAAACGACAAATGAATCATGAAATAACAAATTTAGACTAGGTTGTGTAGCTGCAAAATGAACAACTTTTGATTGTAGCAAGTATGAATGAACTCAGACTGAACACCATATAAATCTATCCTCACTAAAGCAAACCAATGTATGATATTAGAATTCCAAGTACTTATAACCTATGAAATAAGAGTGGTCTTAGTTTGTTTGACACATATAGTTTGTTCACAGCAGAGTCGGATCCAGGATTTAATGTTTATAGGTTCCTGCAACGACTTTGAGTAAATTTTTAATAGTGACTAGGTTCACATTCAAATATTTAAAGATAATTAGTAAATTTTTCGAACACATTGACACTGTTGGGACAAAAGCTATGAGTTCACGTGAACCCGTAGGTTGCAAGGTGGATCCGCCCCTGGTTCACAGAGTGATACATGAAGTTTGAATATAGATAATGTAAGTCTTTAGAGGCGCTAATGATAACAGTCTATATGAAATTATACAACACTAGCTTACTTTTAGCAGTTCAAGAGAAGAAATTATCCAAACCCTTAAATAATCATCAATCAGATCGATAAATTCTCCACCTTTATTCTTAAGTACTCGTTGTCATCAATCTCATTTCGCCAGGTTATGGCAGATGCTATTAGTGAATCTGAAGAATTAGCTTGAAGTGTTGAACTTAGAAGAGTTGCGCCGTTTGACTCTTTGAAAAGGTGTTGCATCCAATAACTAGGGGTTCCATATGCCTGTGAAGAAGTGAAAACAATCGCATCTGCTTTCCACCTAAGTAAAAGAGCATTATTTTACAGAGATGATCCAATTTTGAAGAAAATGAGAAGAAGAAGAGTAAGAGCAGAAGAAATCAAACATACATCCAGTCATTGTTATTAGCGAATAGGGGTGCATAGCTTGCCATTTCAACTGCATCACTGCATGAGAATAAATAATAGGTTATCATCGAGCTAGTGGCAGAGGCAGGATCTCCACGAAGGGGGTTCAAAATTTTTTTTTTGTAACTAGTGGGAATTGAACCCATGACCTTATGTAGATTTTAAACCCCCTTGACCACTAAACTACACTTTTGGATTGTGTTAAGGGTGTTCAAAACTTAATATATAGAGATAAAAAACAGATTTTGCCTTATATATACAGTGTAATTTTTCGGCGAAGGGTGTTCGCCCCCCTAAATCCGCCCCTCGAGCATAGAAATCAGTAGTTGATATATATTCCCAAAAATGGCAGGTACCTGTTCTTTTCTACCCCAATGAGGAAACCAGCTTCAGCCAATGCTGCTAAAAGACTACCTTTTCCAGCATCATTTCCGTGCACAGCATACTCACTTATAAAAGCCTATAGAAATAAACACTATACATAAGCACCACTAACAACAACAGCAGCAACAAACCCAGTATAGCCCCACAAGTGGAGTTTTGGGAAGGGTAGTGTGTACGCAGACCTTACCCCTACCTAGAAGGTAGAAAGGTTGTTTCCTATAGACCAAGGAAAGATGAAGAGAAAGCAGTAGTAGAACTATACATAAGCACCATTTAAAACAAAATGCAGTAATCATCAAAGGAACACTTAACCCTACCTTCGGTCCATTGCGTGGTGCGTCATCGAAATGGTTGGCAAGAGAGAACACAGTACTTGCATTGTCATAAATCTAACCACAGAAACAACACAACATTAAAAGCTAGACATAAGGTAAACAAAGTTAGCTCCCACTGTACCTGCTTTGCGAAATATGGACTTAAACGACATCAAAATCTTACGTGAAAATCATATAAATCAGCTGGATGATCCAATGCTTTGGCAGAAGCATCACAGTTAGAGATTATCTTAATATCTGGGTAGGCTTCTTTGATTGCTGAATAGAACTTGAGGTAATTTCCTGAATCATATTACAAGGATTTCAGGTCTTGACTCAATCGTCAAAATTCTTGGGAGGCCATGAAACATGCGCGACTATAAAGTGATGTCCCAGCTACAAAGTTATAGGGCATACTATTCTTTATGTATATCATGAAAATGTGATCTGCTAAATACAGTAAGGTCTGCATACCTCGGTACTGTGTCTTATCACAATCCTCGTTTCCAATAGCAACATATCTCAAATCAAAGGGCTCTGGATGTCCCATTGCAGCTCGAATCGAACCCCATTTTGAGTCAGAACCACCTCTTGCAAATTCAAGACCATCTAAGATTTCCTGAACATCGACAACATATGCTTATAAAACATAAAAGAGTGCTCAATATGCAATATCCACATACTTTTTTCACATATGTGGGTCATGAGAAATTGAGTTTAAAGTCCATGAGTTGCTTCTAGACCTCTTTATGGTTTACAGTTGCTTCTGTTACAACCATTAAAACCCTTAAAGTTTGACTTTCACCTGTTACATAAATTGTTCAACTTAATGAAACACAGGCTGAGTAGCGCAACATTTCAATTCCAAGGATTATAGTCATCAAAAATGTGGTGAGATTTGGTAAAAAATAGAGATTTCAACAACAACAAAAAACCCAGTGAAATCTCACAAGTGGGGTCCGGGGAGGGTAATGTGTACGCTGACCTTACCCTACCTTATGAAGGTAGAGAGGTTCTTTCCGATAGACCCTTGGCTCAAGAGATTTCATGGCTGACAAAAGAGGAAACTAAAATGGAAAAAGAAAGATCATATTTAATTTAAAAAGTCTCATACCAATATGCCTCTATCTTTTAGTAAATCTTTGGGAGTCTTGATAAGTTGTATGTCTAGAACTTTTAGCATCAAATTGAACTTTATTATAGAATACATGCCTTTTAAGTTTTAAATCAGATTTTAGCAAGTAATGTCCATATCATTTGTATAAGAAAATTCGGAAACCTACTTGCACGAGAGGTAAGACATGGAAAGTGTCAACTTGATCATTGTGGCTGATTCCTGAGAATAATACACGTATAGAGAAGAAGAAAAAAAGCTAATTAATTGCATGAAGAAAACACAGAATAAAAGAAAAGAGTAGTGCATCTTAGAATGTGGAGGTGATACCGTTGTTGAAAACCCAGATTGGCAATGCATCCAAATCCTCTGCAAGCTGCAGAAAAAAAGGACTCGAGTTATCACATGCATAAGCATACCATATTCATGTTAAGAGTGTTCGTGTGTACTTGGCCAGGTTTTTAAGTCCATTTGAATCAAATTCAGGAGAGCACAGAACGTTACCTGAAGAAACTCGAAATGACCAAGCCCATCATCAGTCCAGTAATTCCACACATCACCTAAATGCCCAGGCCTCTCTTCCCATGGTCCAATAGTTTCTTTCCACCGGAATGCATTTCTTAACCAGCCGCCTTCAACAAAACAGCCTCCTGCAGACATATATGGTGATAAGTTTATCCACACTGAACAACATCATCAAATACCTCAACCTTGTAAATTAAGACACAGATGGAGTTAAAACACTTATACGATCACTAAATATTTTTGGGAAGTATGAAGTCGGAAGCATGAACTGTCCCAAATGACTGCACTACCAAATGACAGATAGACTCCTCAACTTCTCATAATTGTTTCATCATAGCATAGAAGATTTCTTTTATCGATAAGAAGAATTAGATTACTTGATCTCCAGTTGGCTTGAGCATAATCAACGGAAAGTATCCTTAGGGCATTGTAGATTTCTTATTTTCACGCATGTTAGCATAAGTTTTTTCATTAATGAATACATTTAACTTCATTATAGGAACACTGTGAGCATAATTTCCAGTTACATTCAATTACTTTAAGGAGTAACTGATCACTCGTGGCTTTTAAGGCATCCCTTTGAGTATCATTCCTTTTTATGATAATGTGTATAACAATATTCTTTCTCATCAAGAGGGAAGTGAGTACAGAAGCCTAAATAACTAAGAGGTAGAAAATACTAACTCTGAGTTAATTGCAAATAAACCATATAACGCCTTGCTCCATCAGCTGGTAATGTTACCTGGAAATCTGATGAATGCTGGTTTCAAGGCTTTAAGCATTCCAAAAAGGTCTTTCCGGAAGCCATGCCCCTGCACCAAGAAAATTGCCAAAATTACATTTATGACACGATTTGGGGAGCTTTGGCGTAACTGGTAAAGTTGCCACCATGTGACCAGGAGATCACGGGTTCGAGCTGTGAAAACAGCTTCTTGCAAAAATGTAGGGTAAGGCTGCGTACGATCGCCCCTTGTGGTCGGGCCTTTCCCTGGATCCTGCGCATAGCAGGAGCTTAGTGCACTGGGCTGCCTACATTTATGACACGAATACAACAACAAGAAAGCAAATAATTGAACCACAACATGCTCACTGACATAGAAGGATCAATTAAGTAATGGTATTTATAGCGAAAAACAAGGGCAACTAATAGTTGCAATAATTTGTAAATTTATTCAGGTTAAGTTGACAACTACTGGATGTTCTTGGTTAAATGGTTAGCACGCCTTCTAATTTTCTTAATTTAAACCTAATAAAATTCAACTCCTTAAAAGTTAAATCCTTCTCCGAAAAGTTAGCAATAAGTTCCTAAATATACATTACCTTGTACGTGTCCATAGGCATCAATGATACTTGATCAAACCATATAACACCCTTTGTAGCTGATCTCAGTTCGAGTCTTGAATTGGGATCTGTTCCTTCCGCTTCCAACAAAACCTCCACCTTTGTCCAATTTGATACATTTGCAGCTCTGCAAGAACATTAAAGAATGAACTGTAAGCAAGATCTGAACTTTGTTGAAACATTGGTATGAAAAATTGGAAAACATAGACAACTATATATGTGGCATATGATACTTACACTACGACAACAGTAGCCAGCTTCTTTAATCCATTTGAACCGGTTAAACCTACTGATAAATTAATAGACTCTTGTGAACGCACATAAAACACCAGTTTGTATCTCTTTCCCTGTTCAATATTCTGCATAAAAGCATAAAAATAAGAAAAACAAGCAACAAGGACACAACAAACTCATGAGTATATAAATATAGAACCGCTAAACTCTAATGGTCGTTACTTGGTTTTGTTTTATGGATCATAATCTGAATAAACCACCAAATCACAAAAAGCAAAGTAGCAATAGCACACCGAAAATCTAATTTACCATATAATTTTAGTGGAAATTAACATGAGAGACTTGAAAATACATATGAAGCAAGTTTGTTGTGCTTTTGCTATTTGCCAGAATAGTGAACATTTTTATGGTGAATATCTGCGAGAGGAACTTAGAGACCTGTAAAGAACATTAAGCCAAGATAAAGAAAAGATGGTAAAGTACCATGCCCCAGAATCCCGGGTTGTAGACACCAACTCCTCCATCTGGACAGAGTTTGGCACCTTTACTGTCACAAAGCACCTGTACTCGAAGTGCAACTTTATTCCGATCAAAGCATGATGAAAGCTCAGTTGATACGATCACAGAAGACTCATCGCCAATGATAGACCAAGGTTCAATGCTAGATGGAAAATTATGGCCTCCAGATTCAAAACCTGAAAGTAGTTTTTGAAGAAAACTAAAATTTAAAATCGAAGACAAGACGATTTAAGAGGCAAAGCCTATGACTGTACATGACTGGAAATCAATTGATAATTTTAAGGGCCTTATTGTTATACCCAACAAAGTCTTGTTATCAATCAAAAAGCAGAACTGTTGAACCATAGTACCATACTGGAACATATAAACTCTCCAATTTAACATTTCATGTACAAATATATTTCAAAGAAAAAGTAATTATGACGATGGAAGAGAGAAAAAATCATATATTAATGTGTCTGAGTTTCTATTTGACCAAGAGTAAATGTCATTGTCTTCATATTTTCCACCTATAAATCCTGCTCCTTTTTGTTTTAAAATGAAAGATAGGTATAAGCATTCACTCCAAGTGAAAACATGTCTTTATTCAATTTACAGGCTTTTCCTTTTCTAGATCAACCAAAAAACTGAAGCTCACCTCTGTTGCTGATAAGTTCAGCCCACAATCCACCAGCACCAGCATGATTGATCTCCTGAAACAAAATACCTAAGGTGTCATATATTATTCAATTGAAAGTATCTAATCATCACGGTAAATGCATCCCATTTGATTTTCCAAGAGTCTGGTAATAGTTTCCAACTTATGCCAATAAAATAAAGTAGGAAGGACTTCCAGCCAGATAGTTGGAGAAATGTGAATAGGTATTTCAGTTTATATTACTTTTTTGCCTTTTTTTCTTTCCGTAGTTCAAGAACTCTGAACCCTGAACCTTAAAAGTTAAAACAGGAGTAGCTTAATGCAATGCATGAAATAATTTTATTCCAAGGTACAATTTCATTAAGCGGAATGTTATAATTCCATAAACTCACCTCAAAGAATATTCCAAACAGAGTATCCGGCATTTTCCTCGCTGATGCTTCAGATGCATTTACTAACAGTAGCGCTGTTTCGTTTGCATCAATCCCACTTGCAGAGCATTGGTATTGGACGGATATTCCAAATAGAACTAAAAGGAGAATACAACAAAGGGAGCGGCTTGAATCCATATCCTTCTCACACCATTCAATGTTCCTGGAGCCTATTTAAGCTTTAACAAAGATGCTAATTCAGTTAGATTGTGATCAATCAAAAGAACAAAACTAGTAAGGTCATTAAATTTTGCAACGATCTGATGTTGTCGAGAGATAGGACCACTAAGATGATAGTTCAAACAAATAACAATAAGTGTCAGCCTGTCACACTTTTCTGCTTGTTACGAACAGTATTAGTGGAAAAGAAAGAATACAACTGAAAAAACTCATAAATACAGATAAGAAAAAGATAGATTGTTTCAGTGTGGACAGAGTGGTAAGGCTAATTCACCAACTTACATAGCATCTTAAGTTACTAGTCAAGCGTTGACAGAAGGGCAGCTCGGTGCACTAAGCTACAGCTATGAGAGGGGTCCGGGGAAGGGCCGGACCACAAAGGTCTATTGGACGCAGCCTTACCCAGCATTTCTGAAGAGGCTGTTTCCACGGCTCGAACCCGTGACCTCCCGATCACATGGCAGCAGCTTTACCAATTACGCCAAGGCTCCCCTTCATAAAACCAGTAAGCTGTATTCATCAGGATGTCACTCCAGTAAGCTGTATTCATCAGGAGATATAAATCTATAATAGCTCAAAATCCAAAGAATCGGTAGCATATTCAAGTATCCAACTTACAAAGAGAGTTGTATTGGACAGATAACTAGTTAAATGTCTTGCTCTTTTAAGTAATTATTAGTATATCTTTTTACTAACTCTCACTTGTCCCTTTCCCAAAATCTCAAAAATCATAAGTGAGGACCAGTATGGCCTCGGACCATATTTAAAACTAGATAAAGGAAGAAAAGAATGGAAAAAAAAGAATAAAATAAGTCTTTCCCTTTTGACTCAAGTATCGACTCATCCAGTCAATGAAGATAGAAAAGCTTTAAATTTTCTTTACTTCTCACTTTTCCAGTAAAATCAACCAAATGAACGATGTGGTGCAGCGGATGGGCTGCTCTATCAGAGGTGTTGGATTCTAGCCCTGGGTATGGAAAAATCCTTGGTAGGGAGCGCTTTACCCCGAATGGAGCCCTACGGGGTGCGAATCCGGATATAGTCGGCCTCCAATGCGGGTACCGGTCACCGGGGGTGGGAAACCAAAAAAAAAAAAAAGACAAAGGAAAACTACTTTTCTTTCCCTTTCTCCTCCATTTCTCCTTTCTTCTCTTTATTTAAGTAAAATTTACAAGCTGAATTACAAGGAGAGACACAGGCAAAACACAAAACAAGCATTTGACTAGCCACAATTTGATAAAACAACTAAGTAGATGTCTGCTTGAGTAAAAGAAGGGGGTGAGGATTCGGGGCAACTACAAGATACCGACAAATTAATCAGTTAAGCAATATATTAAGCTAGAAAAACATCAAAAGACTGCGATATTACAATCAATTGACAAGAATTGCTGAATCCATGTGAGAAAGCAGCAAATATAATAATTTAAGTACTATTAATTGCAAGAAAACAATTACTGTATGTAATAAACACAAAAGGCAAAAACAACATTTGTTTCAAGCTCACTCATTTTTCACCTGGAAATGCCACAAACCCCACAATGCAGTCTTCTTGATTTAGTAATTTAGTGGGNGGGGGGGGGGGGGGGATTTTTAGTTAGTTATGCAGTGATCTCACTCTTGTGCATGTGTGATTAAGTGTTATATGTACAGATTCAAGATTTCTGTATACATGCATTGTGTGTGTGTATATATATATATATAGATTGAAGTGGGGCATAACATATAAGAATTGTTGCTTGAAGTATGTAAACTATGGAGAGGCAGAAGAAACAAAGCAAGTCGTGACATCATTACCTTTGCTTTCACGTAAACAAGCATCTTTGTTCCCTTGTAGTGGCAAATGTTTTTTCAGGACTGACTAATGTCACCATTCCCTTGAGAGTACCTTTTCCATTGACCCCACAAGGGCCCCACACTCTGCAAATTGCTGATTATTTGATTATCTGTTTGCTAAAAATTTCTTGTTACACCCTCTCCGCCCTTATACATTTGTCTCGTACACTTCCTCGATTCACTTTTACTTGTCCATTATTGCTCACCCCTTAAGAAATACTACTTTCGTTTCAATTTAGATAAAGTAGTTTGGATTTGAACCGATGACCTTACAAAGGTTTTGAACCTTCTTGACCACTAAGCTATGCTTTTGTTTTGAACCTCCTTGACCACTAAGTTATGCTTTTGGGCTGTATCAAGGTTATTCAAAACATAATATATAGAGGTAAAAAATAGATTTTGCCTCGTATATACAATGTAATTTTTCGGTGAAGGGGGTTCGGGTGAATCCCCTTCCGCCCCCTAAATCCGCTCCTGAAAAATGGGTAAAATAAAGAGTTTAAAGTTGAATTATTTCCAATTGTAGAAATGTGTCATTCTTTTTGCAACGGGCTAATAAGGAAAGTGTATCATCTAAATTGAAATATAGGTAGTAATAAATTGCATAATTTACCGTGATACCCATATTAATTGGTACATAGTCGTAATGGATTTGAAAAATAATTTGGAATGAGTAACTAATGCTAAGGGCAAAACAGGAAAAATAAATTATTTTTCTTTTGATATGCGAAAAGTGACAAGTAAAAAAATAAAAATTTATTTTTAGAATACTTGACAGTAGTATTTATCTAAACTTTATGTTTTCCAAAAAATATTTTCTAAAAAAAACTCAATCAAGCTCCCTTTTTTTCAATAGGCATAGGCATTTACAAACAAATTTAGCTCGTCGGATTAACAGGAACATAATTTAAATATTGGCCTCAAAAACTATCATACGGTGAATTTTTTATTCGGACTCGCATTGCATAGTCCACACACCGGTGAGGAGGTGTGAGCGACTGGCTGTAGTGGGCACGCGGAGAGATAGAGGACGACCTAAGAAGTATTGGGGAGAGGTGATCAGACAGGACATGACGCGACTTAGGATTACTGAGGACATGGCCCTTGACAGGGAATTATGGAGGTCGAGTATTAAGGTTGTAGGTTAGGGGAGAGTTGTGAATATTTCTACAGCACAATAGAGTGAGACTAGTCAGTTAGGAGTTAGACTAAGAATGTCATTGGTCGTCTATTGATGCAGGGCTTTACCTGCTAGTTTTACTATACCAGCCATCTTTTTCGTATTTCGTATTCTGTATTTTATATCTCTTGTATTGCTGTTATTTTATTATGCATTTTTATGGTACTAATATATCGGCTCCTGTTGCTTTTTGAGCCGAGGGTCTCCTGGAAACAGCCTCTCTACCCTTCGGGGTAGGGGTAAGGTCTGCGTACATATTACCCTCCCCAAACCCCACTTGTGGGATTATACTGGGTCGTTGTTGTTGTTGTTGTATTGCATAGTCCACTAAGAGAGATAAAGAGGGTGTTTGGCTAAGCTTATAAGCTGGTCAAACTGGCTTTATAAGCAGTTTTTGGCTTATCTACGTGTTTGGTAAAATTAAAAGTGTTTATAAGCCAAAAACTCTTATAAGCACTTTAGGTTTGACCAAAATATTTACTATTCTATCCATAAAATACTTCTTTTTAAAGCAAAACTCTTCGTATACCCAGTTCTTCAGCTGCTTATAATTAATTTCAGCACTTTTATCCAAACACGTAACTGCTTATTTTTTAAACCAACTTCAGCACTTAAAAGTGCTTTTCAGCACGTAATGCTTATCAGCACGTAATGCTTATCAGCTACTCTAAATCAAGTAAGCCAAACGGGCAAGAAATTCTCAATTTTTACTAGAACACGAAATCTCTAGTTAGAGGTTGCGAGATTTCAACAACCATCCTATTACACCCCTTAGTGTAACTATTATTTGATTTTAAATAAGTTAAAATCTGTTAGAAATATAATTTAATTCCAAATTGGTTAAGATTGATCATTTGAATCTTCTTTACTCATTTTGCTTTTTTTAGATCAACAAATTTAAATGACTAAATAAAGAGAAATAAAATCGTAACAAACTTAAATGACTAATGAAGAAAATTGCAATGCATGAGGCAAAATAACTACCGTTTATTAATGGGAAAGGAAATACAAATATGAGAATAGGACCACATGGATATTCTATAATTTGTTATGAGAATATCAGAACTTTAGAGGCAAAACGGGATCGAATAACCAGTATACAAAAATTCATGATAAAGCGTAAAAGTAAGATTGTCAAGCTAAGGGCCATGTCTATTTGTGGGTGTGTTTGGTACGAAGAAAAATATTTTTCAGAAAATGTTTTCGATTTTTTCATGTTTTGTTGGTTTAATGATTTTGGAAAATAGATGACAAGACTCAAGAGCGACCAAAAATAATTTCTTATCTACAACGGTTTACTTTTTATGTCCGTTGAACTTCAGAACTTTGATATAGACGAAATAAAAGCGTTAATTCACTCCAAAAATTAGCCTATAAAATTTGAGATTTCATTCGGCATATAAATGCAATAACAATCTATTTGTAATCAACAAGGGACTCAATACTTATCTAGCAAATAAAATTTTGACCTTATTAGTTAAATCAAATGTGTAACGGGTTAAATTACAACAATAACAACAACAACAAACTCGGTATAATTTCACAAGTGCGGTCTGGAGACGGTAATGCGTATGCAGACGTTACCCCTACCTTGAAGGCAGAGAGACTATTTTCAAAAGACCCTCAACTAAAGAAAAAATAAAAAGAAAACAATAACAATAGGCAGTAACAACAACAAAATATTAAGAAATAAGCATAATGAACAACAAATAGTAATAGAAATTTGTAACACATTAAATTGAATATGAAATAATTATCAATGTAAAAGTACTTTTCACAATAAAATAGATTACGCTAACTAGGGGATACAATTTTTTAAGAACTTTACAATAAATTACTTCAACACTAATCGATAGATTGGAGGATCAGAGTCTATTTTTTAGGATCACTGCAATTAGCTTATATCTCCACATGGTGTTTATCGATCTAGAGAAAGCGTGCGACAGGGTTTATAGGGAGGTCCTATGAAGATGCCTAGAGGTTAAAGGGGTCCCGGTTGACTACATTAGGTGATTAAAGACATGTATGATGGATCTAAGACTCGGGTTAGGACAGTAGGAGGCGACTCCGGCCATTTTCCGATTGTTAAGGGATTGAACCAAGGGTCTGCGTTCAGCCCTTTCCTATTTGCCCTGGTGATGGATGCCATAACGCATCATATTCAAGGGGAGGTACCATGGTGCATGCTATTTGCGGATGACATAGTCCTAATTGACGAGACATGACACGGAGTCAACGAGAGGCTAGAGGTTTGGAGACATGCCCTTGAGTCTAAAGGTTTCAGGCTGAGCAGGACGAAGACGGAATACCTCGAGTGCAAATTTGGGACCGAGCCGACGGAAGCAGGAGTGGAAGTGAGGCTCGACTCGCAAGTCATCCCTAAGAGGGGTAGTTTCAAGTACCTTGGGTCAGTTATTCAGGGGACCGGGGAGATCGATGAGGATGTCACACATCGTATAGGGGTGGGGTGGATGAAGTGGAGGTTAGCAACGGGAGTCTTGTGTGACAAGAAAGTGCCACCGTTACTAAAAGGTAAGTTTTATAGAGCAGTGGTTAGGCCTGCTATGTTGTATGGGACCGAGTGTTGGCCGGTTAAAAATTCACACATCCAGAAGATGAAAGTAGCAGAGATGAGGATGCTGAGGTGGATGTGCGGGCATACAAGGATGGACAAGATTAGGAATGAAGATATTCGAGAGAAGGTGGGTGTGGCCCCCATGGAGGACAAGATGCGGGAAACAAGACTCAGATGGTTCGGGCACATTCAGAGGAGGAGCACTGATGCACCAGTGAGGAGGTGTGAGCGACTGGCGGTGGTGGGCACGAGGAGAGGTAGAGGGAGGCCTAAGAAGTATTGGGGGGAGGTGATCAGGCAGGACATGGCACGACTTAGGATTTCCGAGGACATGACCCTTGACAGGGAATTGTGGAGGTCGAGCATTAAGGTTGTAGGTTAGAGGGTAGTTTGTGAATATTAATACATCGCACTAGAGTGAGACTAACCATTTAGGAGTTAGTCTTAGGATGCTACTGATCAGCTACTGATGCAGCGCTATATCTGTTGGATATTAGTATACCTTACATCCTTTTCTCCATCATTTTCGTACTTTCTATATTTCTTATATTGTTATTATTTTTATTTTATGTTATGTATTATATGTTTTATTATGAGCCTATTGATAGTACTAATATATTGTCTCTTGTTGCTCTCTTGAGCCGAGGGTCTCCTGGAAACAGCCTCTCTGCCCCTTGGGATAGGGGTAAGGTCTGCGTACATATTACTCTCCCCAGACCCCACTTGTGGGATTATACTGGGATGTTGTTGTTGTTGTTGTTGTATTGTTGTTTAGTTTATACTTCTTTATTAGTTGATGGATAAGACTCTTTTACTCCTTTTACTATTGATTTTGAGAGTTTTTCGTGGAAAAAAATATTTTTACATATAGATAGTCAATCAATTATATTAGTAGTTATTTAGTTGTGCAATCTGTGCTATCTGGAACTTCTTTTGGTTCGCTTTTGCACTTTCTTGAGTTCTTTTGGACG